GATTTTTCGCGTTTAATGAGCCAAAAAATGGCTCCATCTGGTGATCAAAAGATCTATGATCATCAGCGCCGTTCGGATTCGGCGTTAAACTGTAGGTCCTATACATCAGTATACATATCAGTAGATATTTGTCTCTAATATCTGACTGAGGTAGGATTCTGTGGACCAATCACCCACAAATCCGAAAAACAATCTGATTCGAGAAACGAATATAGGCCTCGGACAAAAGAGGTCTATAGACGTCCTATGCTCCACATAAGGAGATAAAAGGAGTCGTATCGTATATATATATATTGTATATAGTTTTATTAACATTTAAACAAAAAATACTGCTAAAATACATTTTCAGACTGATTTTTAAAAAGTAACGGAAAAGTAACTTTTCGAGTAACTGTAACGAGTTACTTTTAAAAAGCGATAACTAGTAATGGTAACTCGTTACTTCTTTTACTCTGTAACGAGTAACTGTAACTTGTTATTTTTAAAAAGTAATTTTCCATTTCCTCCTGATTATATATTACCATGAAAAGTAACTGATATATTATTAATTAAAGGTGCCAGTACATAGTGAACATACATAAAGTGTATGCAACTTTCGACCGATTTTCGAATCGCCGCCGCCTTTCACTGTCCCCCTCACCTCACAACTCCGCGTGCAGATCAAATGTCGCTCGAGCATCGTGTGGCATTTGGACCGCGCGGGCCGGTGAGGTGAGGGGGCAGCGCAAGGCGGAGGCGATTCGAAAATCAGCCGAAAGTTGCATACACTTTATGTATGTTCACTTTGTACTGGCACCTTTATTAATATTGTAATATATCAGTTACTTTTTATGGTAATATATAATTATTAGATAAGGTTTAAATTTTTGAGTATCCTTTTTTGAACATGGCTTGAACTTTTCTATCATTATTAGGACGAAACGCGCATACAAGCAAAACTTGTAATTGTCGAGTTATACATTATGATATTTATTACTTTACCATGGAAATTAAAATCGAGATTATGAGGTATGTCCAAATGGACACAATATTATATATATTATATATTGCATGCTGATACATAATATCGTTATGTATCGATGTCATATATTTGAATGATGGATGGTATCGGTTTAGAAAAAAATGCAAATGCAACATTCGTTATGAACTTGTCTTTCTTTCTCTCGACACCTCTATCTACTTTTGTATTATAATAACATATATAATGTTAATAAATGTTAATATTTCTTTTTTTATTGTTGCTTTTTCTGTGTAATATAAATAGCTCTGGGAATTGGTTCTCTTACTTTTAGTTTTGGAAATAAAGGCCACAGTGGAGAAAGAGAGGGGTGAGCAATTTCTTTCTAAAGATGAGTTATTTACAAAAATTTACGACAGCCTAAACAACAAATGTTCGACGCATTTCATTTACAGAATATTCATCCAATTTAATATGAGCTATCTGCTTTTAGGCTTTCTGAAAACTTCTAAAGATTTTCTTTTCTAAGATTCAAGTTTAACTGGCAGAAACTTCTTGTTTGTTATTAATCATGGCGGTATTTTCTTGTATTGTAGAAGTCTGTTCTATGCAGCGCCATAATCCGTAGTTTTTCCCGACTATGGTTTGCCATAATCTCAAAGTACCATCTTCAGATCCGCTAGCGTACAATTCACCATCCGGTGAAAAGCGTACGCAATGTACAGGTCCAAAGTGTCCCTTAAATGATTCTGTAAATGTTATGTATAGCTGGGATTAATTTTGATTACTGAATTATGAAAATTATTGAATTATGAAAGATGGATTTTTACCTAGTTCCGTTCCTGTACTGTAGTCAAATTTGTACATTTTAAAGTCTTCCCCACCACAAACAAAAATAGTACAATCCGGATGTAGGCTGGCACTATTAACTTGAGTTGGGACCATAAATTCTTTTATCTTAGTTAGTCTGACAAAAAAATTGAAAATAGCATTTTAACCTTCTTTAACAAAAAAATCAAAAAAGTAAAAAATTTTTTAAGAACTTTTATAAATTGCAACTGTAACGAAATTAAGAAAAAAAAAAAAAACTATAATTTTAGAATAGCTTTCCACAGAATTTTCATAACAATTTTTTTTATAAAAGAAGAAAATATTATATACTCTTTGCTATTCCAAAAGGAAACAATATTAGAGTGAGTAGTGGTAATAATGTTTCCATCTTTTGAAACCTCCATGGAACTAGGAATCGCTGGAAAATCTAGTCTCTTAATCTCTTGTCCACTGTTTCTATCCCATACCCTCAGTGTCTTATCGTCTGCACAGGTAATTAAGGCAGAGTTATTGTTGAAGAAAGTGACATGCCTAATACCACTTGTGTGACCTGAGAAAATCTGTTTGAGAGAGAGAGAGAGAGAGAGAGAGAGG